AGCCATCCAGGAGACTTGGAAGTCGTCGGAGCAGATCGCCAGCATGCATACTGGAGATTATGTGCTCTATGCACAGTCGCGCATCGGCAAGGGAGGCGGTGTGGCGGTGCTGGTGCGGAAAACTCTCCGCTCCAAGCGTATACCCCTCACCATCCCCCAGCATGACACCAGCCTTGAAGTGGTGGTGGTTCAGGTTGCTCTGGACCAGAACCGTGATCTTATCGTAGCGAGTGCCTATATGAGACCACCACCGCAAGTAACGCAATCCTTCAGGCGGTTAGTAAACTGCCTTCCAGCCTCGTCGCCGCTCCTGCTGTGCGGGGATTTCAACATGCATCACCCACAGTGGGAGCCATTCTTGGAGTCTTCTCCAAGCGAGGTTGCTGCAGAGTTTTTAGAGCTGTGCACGGATGCGGGACTCACCTTGGTTAACACCCCTGGTGAGATCACGTATGCCCGTGGCACAAGAGAACGATCATGTATCGATCTGACAAGGTCAAAGCATTTGACTGTGTCAGATTGGTCAGCTTCTGTGTCGCCGCTTAGTGATCATTACATGCTAACATTTACGCTGCATCAGGCATTTAAGGATACCATACCTTCGGCACCCCCTTCGGCACCTAAGACATTCTACAGTTGGGGGAAGTGTAAATGGGATTTATTCATCAAGGACTTCGACGCACAACTTCCGGCATATGACTATAAAAAGCAGTCCACCGGCATTAAAGCTTTCACGAGAGCGCTTATTACTTCGTATCGACGACATTGCCCCCGCGGCATGCACAAGGATGGTCCCAGGCTTTGGGACGACACTCTCATGGAGGCAGAGCGGATTGCTACCGACAGCAAGGCCCGCTATCTACAGTTACCGACGCCCGACCGTGAGGCAGAAATGCAACGGACAAGGAGTCAATTCTTCCTCCTACTCCGAGAGCGCTTGCGTAACACGTATCTACGTCGCATCAGCAAGTTAAATCCAGGCGAACCACTCGCATGGAAATACATTTCCGGACGAAAAAGGGCATCACTTCCACCTCCTACATCGTTGTTGTTGGGAGATGGTCAACACACTTATAAAACAGCAAGGAGAGCAGCGAATGCTCTCAATCGCATCTTTTTTCCACTTCACCCCTCTCACAAGGCAGTAAGGTTTTCCAAAGGCATCAAAAGACAGAACCCATCTTTGGGCATTGTTTCTTCTTCTCTTTTTGGGCAGCAGAACAACAACGAGTCTGCTGCCCCATTTACTTCATTTTCTTCTACTTCTTCTAGCTCTGAGCCGCAGAACAACAGCGAGTCTGCCGCTACATCTAGCTTAGTTTCTTCTACCTCTCTTATCTCTTGTATTTCTGAGCCGCAGAACAACTACGAGTCTGCCGCTACATCTACTTCAGTTTTTTCATTCTCATCTAGTTCAGAGCCACAGGATAAAAACGAAGCTGCCACCACATCTGGTTTAGTTGCTCATCACTCTCCTCTTGATGCACCTTTTAATCGTACGGAACTGCTTGCTGCGCTACGTAATACGCCGTATGGCAAGGCCCCCGGACCGGATGAAGTCTACAGTGAGGCACTGCGACATATTTCGTCAAAGGGTCTTCGATTCCTTCTTCGTTGCATTAACCACAGCTGGACGACAGGTACGATCCCGGCTGAGTGGAGACGCGCTACCATCGTCCCACTCTTAAAACCCGGTAAGTTGCCGGAACTGCTTGAGTCATATCGACCCATCAGCCTTACTTCCATTGTGAGTAAGGTTGCTGAGAAAATGGTACTGAAGAGATTGCTTTGGGTGTGGACGCCTCACCCCCACCAGTATGCATATCGTAGTATGCGTACCACGACGATGCAGCTGGCACACCTGATACACGAAGTGGAGCATAATAGAAATCATTATTTCCAAGTGAACCTTCCCAAGAAGAGCGGTATTGGTAATCAACTCCACTACAGACCCCATCGGACTCTGCTGGTGTTGGTTGATTTCAGCAAGGCTTTTGACTCCATAGATCATCGGGTCCTCAGTCGCTTGCTGGCTAATATTCCGGGGGTGAATTGTAGAAGGTGGCTTAGAAACTTTCTATGTGGTCGCTACGCGAAGACACGAGTTGGTAACAGAAACAGTGATCGGCGTCCCATGTTGCGAGGAGTTCCTCAGGGGTCCGTACTGGGACCATATTTGTTCTCCCTTTACGTACACCCACTTCTCAATCTGCTGAACAGCTTTGCGGGTGTCACAGCAGAGATGTATGCGGACGACCTCTCTATTATCGTTAAGGGGCAGTCCCGGGAAGACGCCATTCCCACTGCCAACATGGTTCTCAAAAAACTGCATGCGTGGAGTCAGGAAAATGGCCTGGCCATCAACCCGTCAAAGTGTGAAGCCGCTTGGTTCACGCTCTCCACGCACACGGAGTCAGATTATGATCGTGAAGG